TATATATATATATATATATATATATATATATATATATATATAAAGGGAGATACGCTATAGAGATGAACACGTTGCCTTAGTATGGATCTTAGTTTATTGATACAAATTTAAGGTCAATTTTGTTGTATGTATATTTCTGCTATCGATTAAGGTATTGTGTTTGTACAGCTCATTTTAAAATGTAATGTGTAATAAACACATGTTGAAAGATAGTCATGTATAATAGTCCATCTTGTAGTCATGTTTGTTAGTTAGATGTACAGAGATATATTTCAGATGACCAGATATTCTTCAAACCTTTCAAAGACTAATAGAATATGGCATTTAAAATGTTTCAAGAGTTTAAGACTTTTCATGACAATGAGAAACATCTGCTCCTGGCAACCTTAATCTACTTCAAAAAAAATAATGGGCATCAAAAAGGCTCCTTATAGAGTTTGTTAGCATTTGGACAAGAAACTGCCTTTGTCTGTACTGCTTGATGTTATGCTGTATGAACTGAACATGAGTATTCCCAGAAAAATGACTGATGAACTTGAGTAAAGAAAGTAAGATAGTTCTTCAGGGTTCCTGCTTCATGAAAGAGTCTGTCAGACATTCTGCAGGAGACAGAAGGAAGCAACTGATGGACTTTGCCATTATAAGGCAGAACAGATCTTCAAATTTCCTGCTTCATGATAAAGTCTGCCAGATACTCTTGCCTGTAGTTTAAAAATGGATGCCACAATAATACAGAAGAACCTTGGGTGTCTGTCCCAAAATGTCTCTATCAAGTCTAGAGTTATGGAAGTTGTTTACAAAGCACTTCCTGTTAACTTAGATAATATTATATCCTTCTTGAGTCTTTGATGGAATTGAAGAATAGATATTTACAATTATAATTTTCCTTAGTTTTAATAAAAATAAAGTCTATAAATATAGTAATTATAATTTTGTTTGGTACCTGTTTTTTATATGTAATTTTACTATGCTAAAGTTAAAACCTTCCTCTTTATTTAGACAGAAAAGGAGAGGTGATTTTTGATTCCTGTCAGTGTGCTGTGAATACTTTTAGTTAATGAATGGAGAAGCCACTTTGTCCTGTGATAGGGCAGAATAGAGCTAGGCAGGAAAACTTAACTGAATGCTGGAAGAAAGAAGGCAGAGTCAGAGAGATGCCCATGTAATTGCTGGAAAGGATAGATGCTAGAACCTTGCTAGTAGGCCATGACCTCGTGGTGATGCACAGATTCATTAAAATGGGTTAATTTAAGATGTAAGAAATAGTCAATAAGAAACCTAAGTTAATAGACCAAGCAGTGCTGTGGTTATAGATTCTGTGTAATTCTTTTGGGTCTGGGAGGTCAGGAAATGCAGGAGCAGCCTCCACTAACAACTGAGTAAGTCAAACACACTCAAGAACAGACACTATGACCAGCAGTAGTAGATCAACACAAAGCAAACACTGTTGGATTTTGTGATTGTGGTATCAGTGGGGGCTGTTGTTTTTTGTTGTAGCATTTTTGTCTATTGGTTATAAGTGTACTTTCAATTTGGGTATAGATTTAAGAGAGAAAGATTATGAACTTGGATGTGTAGGAATATAGGAAACAATCTAGAAGACATTGGATTGGGAAATATCAAAATATAGTGTACATGTAAACTTTTTAAAGCACAACTGAAGGAAAACTCTTCAGATATTTGAAGTATACATGGTTTGCACCAATTATATCCAGTTCTAGAAACAGGCCCCTGGTACCTAATTTCAATTTCATCTTATTTTGCACTTAGAATCTTTATCCTCAAATTCTTTGCAACATATTTAACATTTCAAGTTTTAAAAAAAATGTGCTCATTTAAATCTCAAGCATCACTGTGAGATCCAGGAATTTAGGCATCCTGATTCTGGGTGTACTAGATCACCTGTGATTATGGTGTACAGGTTTCTTCCCTTTGTTTTGTTAATTATTGAGTCAGCTTTGGAGTTAGTGAATTCAATCAAATTCTCTACCATTCAACCATACATGCTGTCCTTCTAGGCTTATTGTGAGTAGCTATACATAAATTCTTTAAGGTTGATTTCAGGATACAGTCAATATAGAGTTTTTTAAATTGATTTCTTAATTGATTTTATGAATGTTAGGGGCAGACTGACATGTATTTCAACAGTATTTGAAGATTTACAAATCCTCCACTGTCATAATGACATTGATGTTTCATAACAGATTCTTTCTTTTTAAGGCTACCAGTTCATGTGACTTAAATATAATATGATAACAATCAATGTTATGTTATTTCATTGTTATGATATTTAAAGACTAGGAAATCTGGTTGAATTTTAAATTGTCTTTCCAACCTCATATTGATGCATTAAAAAGGGTCAGTGTATAATTACAAAAGGATATCTCCTCTCCTATTGTCAAGTATAAGTAAGTACCTGGATGATTCCAGACATCAAGTAAATATTCTGATGCTTTCCTTCATATTGATGCTTGTTATGCTCTAATGATACCCTCTCTTCACTGTGGAAGAATTTATGATTTTATTGAATGTTTTATAGAAATATGTTTTATAGAAACAAAAAAGATCCACTGATTCCTTTAAAATTTTGTGAAACTATTTTTCTGTATCTCTAATTTTTTAAACACAGTATTTTTGCTTTTTAATTTTCTAAATCTATTTTTTCTCTCTAAAATTTGACAAAAGTATTTTTGCTTTGTATATCCTACTTTTTGTAAAATAAACTGATTCTAAAATAATTCAGTTTTTCTCCCCATAGCATAGTCTTTATTTTATCACTCTAAGCTTCTTATACTTGTTCTAAATTTATTTTATTAAAGAATTGTTCTTAAAATAAAGCACTTTATTATAGAAAGGACACATCATGATTATTTAAATATGTTTTGTAAAGGTATGTTTCAGTTTTGGTTAGGAATATAAGTTCCATTTCATGAGTTTAGTTCCTTGTTGAATTCTATAGATGAGCATTCTCTATTTCTGCTTCCAGCCTTGGTTTTTAGCATATGTGATTATATGAAAGAAACAGGCAGGTTGATCAAAAAACGTGATAAGCTTAGCTATGAAAATATTCTGATTTTGAAATATTCTCTTATTTTTAACTTTAATTGAATTCACAACAAATTTAATTTAATTGAAATTCAGCTATGTTGTCATTATTATGTTTCATTATTGTTACGAATTTTAGCAAGACATTCCTGAGAATATTCTGCAAAATGGTACAGATGACTTCCAAACAATGGCTTCCAAACAACATGAAAATACAGAAGCACAAGAAGGTAATGCACACACTTATCTTGTAGGATCATTGATCACAGGCTTAAAACATGGAGACAGATATTTTAGCCAAATAGAATAGCCTAGTATGTTTCCATATGGTTTTCATGTAGACTTTTAGTAAATTCTACATCTCCATATTCCCACTTTGCCTTCCTCTCTTCCATTGCCCTTCTTATTTGATCCTCATAATGTTTCTCTATTTCTATATATTTTATTTCCTATTATTTGAGTGATCCTCTCCAGAAGTCCTTTACTTGATGCAGAATCATTGTTGTAGTATAGATTTTAGCATATATGTTGAAAGCTTAAATGCTAACACCCACATAAAAGGGAATGCATGCAATATTTGACTTTAGAATCTGACCTCTACACTCACAATGTTTTTTCTAACTTTGTACATTTATATGTAAATTTCATACTTTACTTTTTTGATAGAAGCAAAATAATGTAAATGTATGACATTTGAATTATATACTCAAAAGTCAAAGGACCTCTAGGCTGTTTCCTAAATCTGACTATTATAAGTAGACCAATTATGCACATGTATGAGCAGGTATTTATGTAGTAGAATATAGAGTCCTTTGGGAATATGCCAGAGAGATGTATAGGTGGACCTTGAGAGGGTATCAATATCCAGCTTCTGAAGAAAATCCTCTAGTGATTTCCATAAAAAATGTACTGGTTTGCATTCTCGCAATAATGATTAAGTGTTCCACTTTTGCCATTTTCTCACAAGCATGAATTGACATTTCCTTAATTGATCTTAGCCTTTCAGACAAGAGTAAAATGAAATCTCAAAGTAGTTTGGTTTGCATTCTCCTGATGAATAATGATATTGATCATTTATTTAATAGTTCCTCAGTCATTTTTGTTTCATCTTTTAAAAATTCTCTTTGTATTCATGCACACCATGTATATTGAGTTATTTATTTTCTGAGAGTCCAGCTTTTTCTTCTTTATATAATTTAGATATGGTGTGTTAGATATTTCAATGTTAATATTCTTTTCCCATTCTGTAACCTGATGCTTTTCCCAACTGATGATTTCCTTTGTCATAAAGAATGCTTGTTTCATGTGATTCCACTTATTAAATGTGGGTCTTAGAGCTGTGCTACAAACCTCTTTAGAAAGTCTTTTCCTGTGCCAGTGAGTTCAAGCCTGTTCCATACTTTATTTTCTGTCATATTTACGGTCTGTGGTCTTATTTGAAATCTTTGATCTATTTGGAATTGAGTTTTGTCAGGGTAAGAAATATTGGTCTACACACATTCTTCCTCATCTAGTCATATAATATGGTCACCATCATGAATTTGAGATATTTTTTATCCAGTATATATTCCTGTATTCTGTATCAACACTTAGGTGTCCAATGGTGTCTACATTTAGTTTGGACATCAGTTTGATTTCACAGATTAACAGACCTATTTTGATGTTAAACCATGCTGTTTTTATTACTCCAGCTCTGTAACAAATCATGCAATTTGGGACAGTGATTTCTGAAGCTTCATGTAGTACTTAAGATCATTTTTAACTTTTCACTGTTCTTTTTGTTTGTTTAATTACTTGATTTTGTCTTTCTATATATTTTGTCTTTTCTATATGAAGCATATTTCTATATGAATATATTTTGGTATATTTTCATTACCTGCTGTCCTAAACAGTAAATAATAGGTGTTCATTTTGAAAAAATGAAATGAGAACTCATTGTCATTCCCAGCCTTCATGAAGGTAGCTTTGGAATTGTCATTGTACTTGAGATTGACTATATATTCTTTTTGTTACAGTTTGGGCCGAAAAATGTCTGCATCCAGAGGTAAATGCCTTTTAATGTTTATGCTGAAAAATTACATGCAGAGCAAAGTCTAAAACATTAAATAAATATCTCCTTTCAAAATTCATTCAGCTGAGGGATTCTAGTCATCAAATCTCCAAACCTGAGACTGAACCACAGCAATCTCAACCAGGTAAGTTTTGTAAGTCACACTCTCTTGATCATTGTATTTTAGTATATTTCCAATGCATATAGTCATCCTGATAACAATTAGATCTTGATGTTAATGATGGTAGGGTTTCTCATAAGCAATGCCATTGCACTAGTGGCATTCATGCCTCAAACTATTCACAATGTCTTATAAAATATTTATAAATGTTTAAATGCCTTCACCTTCCCAGTGTATAACCTCTCTGTTTATTAGTGACTTATACAAGTCAATCAGAAGAATAATGATACTTCTCTAATATTTGAATATGACTTCTTGATATCTGCTTCTCAGAATGCAAACCTATATTCAAAGTTTCCAAAGGACACATATTTGAGCTAAGTGATTCTATTCAATCCTAAACAAGCTACAATATGGCACTTCTTCAAAAAGAAAATCAGTTTTTTTTCTTCTTCTAGAACTCAGAGTGCCCTCCTTACCTTCATCTATAGTGCATTGCAATTTTTACAAAGAATAGGAAACATATTTATAAATCGTTTCTCTCAAATCTAAGTAATTTAACACAGCCTACACTATCATTTGATCCCTGAAAGTATGGTTCAGCAATTAAGAGCACTGTCTGGTCTTCCAAAGGTCCTTAGTTCAAATCCCAGAAATCACGTGGAGGCTCACAACCATCTCTAATGAAATCTTAGGTCCTTTTGAGGAAGAGACTTGGTCAGTCATCCTCATCAACTTAGACCATAAAACCCCAAATAGACAAGTTCCACAGAACCACCATATACAAACTGCCCATGTGTGCTTCATCATTGCCAAGACATTAAAAAAGCACTATCATATGGTGAAGCAGCCACTGAGAATCCTATTCCTTGTATACATATCCTGCCTTAAAGAAGGCTTCAGTTTCATGGGGTTCCACTTATTAAATGTTGGTCTTTGCTACAGGTGGTCTCTTCTAAAGTCTTTTCCTGTACAAGTGACTTCAAGTCTGTTGTACACTTTCCCTTCTGGCATACTCAGGGTATCTTGTCTTATTCTGAGACCTTTGATTCATTTGCAGTTGAGTAAGAGATAAAGGTCTATGTGCATTCTTCTTCATGCAGCCGTCATGTTTGGTCAGCACCCTGTATGAGAGCTGTGTTTAATCCAGTGTTTATTTCTAGTTTTTTTTAAATCAAATATCAAGTTTCCATTGGTATGTGGACTTAAGTTTGGTATTAAATTTGATTTTACTAACCGTCATGCCTATTGTAATCATGATGTTTTTATTCTTTCACCACTGAACAAATCTGAAATCTCAGACTGTGGTTTCCCCAACTCTTTTAGTATTGAGCATTGTTATAACATTATCCAGTGTTTGATATTGTTTTTGTTTTGTTCTACTGTACTTATATATGAAACTGAAAGTCTTTTTGATGCTGTTGTAGGTGTTTTTCCAATTTTGCTTATGAATTATGTTGGAATCTCAATGGGGATTACATTGAATTTGTAGATTGATTTTGGTAGGTCTTGGTAAATTCCCGTCAACTGCTGTCATAAACAGTAAAATAATAGGTGTTATTTTAAAAGAAAGGAATGAGAACTCATTGCCTTCAAATCCTTCATAAAGGTAGTTTTGGAGTTCCCAATAAATATGAGTTTGATTAGATATTCTTTTCCTTTCAGTGTGGGCCTACAAATGTCTGCACCCAGAGGTAAATTTCATCTAATATTTATATTGAATAATTACATGTTGATTGAAGTCCAAAATATTGATTAAATATCTCATTTCAAACTTCTTTTAGCTGCGAGATTGTGTTCATCAAATCTCCATACCCAAGACTGAACCACAGCAATTGCAAGGAGGTAAATTTCATGAGTCATATTCTTCTGAGCAACTCATTTTAATACATTTCAAGTGCACATAGTCTTAATGATACCAACTATATCTTGATGATAGTGACAGTTGGATTTGACATAAGCAATGTCATTTCACTAGTAGCATATGTGCTTCAAAATATTCACAAGGACATTATGATTTATTTGTAAATGTAAGCATGGCTTTGATGTGGGAATCCCTTCTGTATATGTGTTGCTTTTATTGGTTAATGAATAAAGCAGCTTCTTTGAACTTCGTGATGGGGAGAATAGATTAGGCAGCAAAACTAAATGAATACTTGGAGAAAGTAGACAGACACAGAGAGATGCCATACAGTCGCCACAGGAGACAGATGCGAGACACTGGCCGGAACCTTTCCAGTGGAGCACAAACACGTGACAATAACAGATTAATAGAAATAGGTTAAGTTAAGATGTAAGGGTTAACTAGAAACATGCAAAAGTTAAAAAGCCAAGCAGTGATTTAATTAATATAATTTCTGTATAATTATTTTGGGTCTGAGTGACTGGGAACAAATGAGCAGCCTTGGACAATATGGTAGCAATGTTTAATAATCAGGTTCAATCACTTACATTTTCAAGTATGTATTCTCTTTGTTTTAGTGACTTACAGAAGTCAATCATGAGACTAATAAGCCTTCCCCACTGTTTGAATATGATTTCTGGATACATGGGTCTCAGAATTCACACTTAAAATAAACTACCTGGCCTGGAAAAGCATAATATATAACACAGCAGTAGTGCATTGTAATTGATTGACAGGCAAAATTGACAGTATTTTTAAACCATATCTATAATGTATTTGAATACATTAAGGCACACTATCATATGACAGAGCAGTCATTGAAAAATCCCATAACTTATATGCATATCTTGTTTGTTTTTCCATTCTTTTAATTTCTCTGTACTCTGTTGTCTGAACTCAATCTATCTGCATAAGAACTGGCATTATATCAGTAAAGAAAGCACGTCTGGAGTGTCCAACTTTCAAAAGCTAAAGTCAAAACTTGTCAGGATCCCACTAAGAAATTAAAGGGAAATAAAAAACAAAATCAAATGAAATCTTTTTATCTAAGGATAATCTTAAATATAATTCCTGCATGTCAAGGAGAAAAATGGATACACCTGTAATAAAATGGGTTTCAGCTGAAGTGAAAGAAGGGTTTAAGCATTATCATGAATTAAGTTAGCCAAAAAGATAGCAATGCTCATTTTTCTTGGAAAAATATGGTGTATAGAACAGAATGACTCCATATGCTAAAATGTGTCATAAAATAGCAAGTTTTCAGTGTAGACCATAAGTATGTAATCCTATTCACAGAAAAATATTTGGAAAACTAAGCACAATTTTGATGAAGTGATCACTGAGTTATTTAAAGTTACTCTTACAAGGCAAGAAAAGTGTACATGATGAACGTGTTATTTTCCTCAATTATCTTCATAGTGGATGTAAGCATATATGTCAGTTATGAATTCTCTAACAAATCATATAAAGTAAGTATGACTCAAAACCAGCCAATATATAGTACCTATAAAATGTTAATATTTCTACAATTACAAGATTTCCTGAGAATACAAATATAATCATAATCTATGTGGTTAATGGGAATAACATATAAAAAATAAAACTGTTAATTTTAAATAATTCCTTTTTAAAAAGTATTCCTTCTTATTGAGTATTATTTTGCCTAATTGTTTCATATTTTTATGTAAAAGATACAGATGTCTTAGAAGAACTAGTTGAAGAAATACAGGAATATGAAATGGAAAAAGAAGAAAGTCTTGATAAAATTGAAGAAAATCAAGAATTTGTATGTAAAATTTCAATTTAAATATTTCATTTCCTATTATTTACTTCAATAATATTGCCATACTCCTAAATGATACATTTTAAACCACCTTATACAGTCAACATATCAATAATTTAATATTAAAATGACAGTATTTAATCATTTATTAATTATAAAATATTCTTGGAATCCCATGACATATTTTTCCTTGGTGTATAGTAAGAAAATGTCTGATAAGTATAATTGCTTCATTTTTAATGTACTTAAACACATGGGTTTCTTCAATTTCTTTCATCAAGGATTTAAAGTTCTTGTCATACAAGTCTTCCACTTGTTTGGCTAGAGTTACTCTGAGATATTTTATGCTATTTGAGGCTACAGTGAAGGGTATTGTTTCTCTAATTTCTTCCCCATCCCTTTTATCATCTATGTACAGGAGGACTTCTGAATTTTTTTTTGCTTAATCTCGTATCCTGCTACATTACTTAAAGTGTTTATGAGTTGTAGAAGTTCCTTGGTAGAGTTTTTGGTATTGCTTATATAAACTATCATATCATCAGCAAACAGTGAGAATTTAACTTCTTTTCTGATTACTATTCCCTTGATCACCTTTTGTTGTCTTATTGCTTTATCTAAAATCTCAAGAACTATATTTCATAGATATGGAAAGAGTGGAGAACCTTGGCTTGTTCCTGATTTCAGTGGAATCACTCAGAGTTTCTTTCCATTCATTTTGATGCTGGCTGTTGGCTTTCTGTATATTGCCTTTATTCTGTTTAGGTATGTTCCTTGTATCGCTGCTCTCTCCAAGACCTTTATCATGAAGGGATGTTGTATTTTGTTGAAAGCTTTTTCAGCATCTAATGAGATGATCATGTGGTTTTTATTTTTCAGTTTGTTCATACGGTGGATTATGTTGATAGATTTTTGTATGTTAAACCATCCCTGCATCTCTAAGATGAATCCGACTTGATCATGGAGGATGATGGTTCTGATGTGTTCTTGGATTCGATTTGCCAGTATTTTATGTAGTATTTTTGCATCAATGTTCATGAGTAAGATTGTTCCGTAATTTTCTTTCTTATTAATGTCTTTCTGTGATTTGGGTATAAGGGTAATTGTAGCCTCATTAAAAGAGTTTAGCATTGTTCCTTCTGTTACTATGGTGTGAAATAATTTGAAAAGTGTTAGTATTAGTTCTTTGAAAGTCTTGTAGAATTCTGAGCTGAAACTATCTGGTCCTAGGCTTTTTTTTTTTTTTTTTTTTTTTTTTTTGCTTGGGAGGCTTTTGATGACTGTTTCTATTTCTTCATCAGTTATAGATCTGTTTAATTTTCTGACCTGGTCTTGATTTAATTTTGGCAAGTGATATTTATCCAGAAAGTTGTTCATTTTCTTTAAGTTTTCCAATTTTGTGGACTAAAGATTTTCAAAATGACCTGATGATTCTCTGTATTTCCTTCATGTCTGTTGTTGTGCCCCCTTTTTCATTTCTGATTTTGTTAATTTGGATATTCTCTCTCTTCCTTTTGGTTAGTTTGGGTAAAGGTTTGTCTATTTTGTTGATTTTCTTAAAGAACCAACTCTTTGTCTCATTGATTCTTTGTATTGTTTTCGATGTTTCTATTTTGTTGATTTCAGCTCTCAATTTGATTATTTCCTGCCATGTAGTTCTCTTAGCTGAGTTTGCTTCTTTTTGTTCTAAAGCTTTCAAATGTTCTCTTTATTCACTAGTGTGGGATTTCCCCAGTTTCTTTATGTAGGCATTTAGTGCTGTGAACTTTTCTCTTAAATCTTCTTTGTGTCGCATGAATTTGGGTATGTTATGTTGTCATTTTCATTGAATTTTAGGAAGTCTTTAATCTCTGCCTTTATTTCTTCCTTGACCCATTGATGATGCAGGTCAACATTGTTTATTTTTCATGTGTCTGTGGCCCTTCTGGAATTAGTGTTTCTGTTGAATTCTAGTTTTAAGCCATGGTGATATGATAAGATACTTGGGGTTATTCCAATTTTATTTTTGTACATGTTGAGTTTTTTTGTTTTCAAATACGTGGTCATTTCAAAAGAAGGTTCCATAAGGTGCTGATAAGAAACTTTATTCTTTTATGTTTTTATGAAATATTCTATAGATGTCTGTTACATCCCTTTGAGTCATAGTATCTGCTAAATCTTTCATTTCTCTGTTCATTTTATTGTCTGACTGACCTGTCCAGTGTTGAGAGGGGAGTGTTGAAGTCTCATACTATTAGTGTGTGTGGTTTAATGTATGATTTAAGCTTTAGATGTGTTTCTTTTACATATGACTGTGCCCTTGTATTTGGGGCATTGATGTTCAGTATTGTGATTTCCTCTTGATGGATTGTTCCTGTAACTATTATGAAATGGCCTTCTTTGTCTCTTTTGATGGATTTTAGCTTGAAGTTTATTTTGTTAGATATTTGGATAGCTACACCTGCTTGTTTCTTAGGTTCATTTGATTGCTATATTTGTCCCAACCCTTTACTCTGAGGCAATGTTTGTCTTTGAGGTAGAGATGTGTTTCTTGTATGCAGAAGAAAGATAAATTCTGTTTTTGTATCCAATCTGTCACCCTGTGCCTTTTTATAGGTGAATTGAGTCCATTTATATTAAGGGATATTAATGACCAGTGATTGCTATCTCCTGTTAATTTACTTTTCATTGTTAGTGATGTTAATTTGTGAATTTTTCCCTTCTTTGGGATTTGCTGCTATGAGATCATCAGTTGTCTGTGTTTTTGTTGATGTAGCCAACTTCCTTGGATTGGAGTTTTCCTTCTAGTATTTTGTGTAGACCTGGGTTTGAAGAATGCAATGATGATGGTATCTACTACAATTCTATTTATCTCCTCTATTTCTGTCTACAGATGGGTGGATTTTAAAGAACAAAGGCTGCTTACCACAAATTTAATCAAGTAGTGACACCAATTGCAACTCCAATACCACATGTGGTTTCTTTACTTGGGTAAACTAACACATCCCTTATACCTGGTATGCAGCTATTGCTCTTATAAATATTTCCACTGTACTTACTCATAAATGTCATGAAAAATAATTGGTTTTAAGTTAGTATGACCTTCAATATGTTTTGACTATTCTACCTCATAAATATATTAATTCTATAGACCCATGTCTTACGTGAGTTGTAAAGTACTCGATCACTTATTTCGCCCACAAAGTACCACAGTGATCCATTATATTGATGCCACTATGCTCAGTGGTTCAACTGCTCATGATAAGGAAGCCACATTATACTTATTGATAAAATATATGTACATTAGAAGATGAGGAATAAATTCCCAACATCCAACAAAAAATAAGTGATATAAAAAGTTGTAATTCCCATAGTAAATCAAAGAAGAAACCAAAAACTGTAGTTTCCTATTTGCAGTCAATCACAGCAAGATTGAAATTTCACAGTTTTCATTGGGTCAGAGGATGTTTTCAAGGTCTTTGCTTGAAGAGAGAATTTGATCATATAATTCAATTAATAGACTTAATAGACTGTAAGAGAATATTCACTTCTACAATTCTGGCATTGTCATGAATATACAACTAAGATATTATTTTGCTTATTTCAAAGAAAAAAGTAATTATTTTCTTTTAATCATCCACTTACATATTAGACACATTTTTAAGAAGTGACTAAGGAAAAGAGTTCACACAATGCAATGCACAATATATTTCCAATTTATACAATCTGTTCACAGAAACAACATAAAGTATTATGCTCAATGTAGTGTTGGGACATTGTGAAGATATTTTAAAATGTTTTGAACTCGTAGATTTTCCTTTGGTAAATACTGGCATGATGCTGATATAGTAAGCCCTGGATATTACATATGAGGAGAGCAGTCAATATCTTCACAATAGCCTTTGAACAAAGATTCAAAGTTACTCAATAAAATAAATTGCAAAGTGAAAACAGACACATATCAAAAAGATGATACACCACGATCAAATTGTTTCTATCTTAGAGATGCGGAGATGCTTTGAAACATGTACATCAATATATTTAACAAAACACAAAAATGGACCAAGAGACAAAAATCACCTTATCTTCTCAATAGATACAGATAAGATCTTTGCCAAAATCCAGTGTATCTTCCTGATAACAGTGACAGAGAGAGGAGGACAAGAAGGAACATCCCTCAACAGAATTAAAGTTATATAATGAGAAACTCACAGCCAACATCATCCTAAATGGTAGAGAATATGATGTTACTCATTTAGGTCATGAAAAGACAGGGTTGTCAATCAGCCTCACTCATTTTCAATATTGTGCTTAAAGTATTACCTGGAGAAATAAATCAGAAGAAGAAAATAAAAGGGAAACAAATTGGAAAAATATAAGTCAATACTGTTTGTGTTAGTCAGGACATCTATTGCTGAGAAAAAATACCACAATGTGGACATTTTTATAAAGGAAAAATTTTAATTAGGGTTGATTCCAGATTCAAATATTTCTAATTTTAATTTTAACACGGTATTATTTTATATACCAATCCCAGTTCCTTCTGTTCCCAGTCTCTGACTTCTTCCAGCTTTTCCCCCACCTCACTCCCATCTACACTTCAGAGAGGGTGAGGCCTTCCATGAGGAGTCAACAAAGTCTGTCACATCATTGAGGCAGGACCAAGGTCATTTCCCCTGTATCTAGGCTGAGCAAGGTATCTTTCCATAGAGGGAATAGGCTCCAAAGAGCCAGATCATGGAACATGACAGCATGGGGAGACATGGGTGTGTATTAGGAACTGAGAGTTCTACATCTTTATCAACAGGTAGGAAAAAGCCTGTTGTGTGTCTGCTCTGGGCATAGCTTGAGCACAGAAGACTTCAAAGCTGTAAAAAGAGATGGCCTTGGTTTCCTGGTCCCGCAGACCTAAATAATCACACAGAAACTATATTAATTATAACACTTTGGCCTACGAGGTCAAGCATCTTATTAACTAATTCTTACATCTTAAATTAGCCCATTTCTATCAATTTGTATTTTACCAC